CCTAATACATATAATGTGCGGGTAAAACATATACAATAGTTTCTTTCTTCTTAAAAAAAACTAAGGCACAGTTTCATTGTGGGGTTCGAATTCCCCGGTTTAGCACTGAATTTTCTCGAAAGCTTTCTACTAAAATGGTACGAGGCAGCAACAATGAGCGATTGGACTGGCCATTGAAGAGGTTTGAGGCGAATGCTCTTACAGAAGGACACCCTCTCAAGCATCATGTGCTCAGGATGAAAATTAACTGTCACTAGGGAGTTGACTGGCGTTTAGCAACCGTGCGAGAAGCTAATATACTCCCTTCACAGGCAGTTGCTGCTCGCCGGAATAGATTTTCATTCGTAATAGTACTGTCAGTGGGTCCAGTAGCCCCTTTTTCGATTTTTACTCCATTATCGCGTACTACTTTTCACTGCTTATCGCTTTTTGAAGCGTATTAGGCTACAGTTTTTTCACATCACTTGTTCAAAAAATCTGCAAGATGGGTTCCAAGTTGTAGTTTAACGAATCGACCTGTAGGTGTATTAAATGGGTGTCGCTCTTTAGGTGATGAACAGGCTCTCACCATTTGTGAGTCATCTCGCGTTGAAGTGACTTGTGCTCTTCTATGCATCTGTTTCGGTTCAAACTGATTGTTTGAAATTATAGAAACTCCTGAAAATGAATTAGTTTTTTTGAGGTTTCTATTTTTTATATTCTTTGAAAAATTTCTCTTTTCCGATGCCAATGGGGTGCTTGCAGGCAATAAATGACAACGTACTCGCGATGTGTCATGAGTTCGATGTGGTCAAGTGTGTTTCATGTTTATCGACATGCATTTTTCCCGACGCTACAACGTATCCAATTGATGAAACAATGGTAAGCGAAGAAATCCTTTTTCCTCTTTATTCCGATTCATCAAATCTCCTCGCCTTGTTAAAAACGGTATATGTTAATCGTGTGAGGGCTAAATTTGTGATATCACTTCTACTGTGGAAACATGGGGAGCAACGTAAAGATGCCCAGTGATGAGGTGTGCTAATTCGAAATTCTCCAGCTGCGAGAGTAACAGAGAAAACCAGGTTTTTGCGGTGATTTGTTTTTTTGTGAAGGGGTGCGGTGGGAGAGGGGGGTGGGTGAGAAAATTGATATTTGTCAAACAAGGTGAATTTAACGATAATGCCGGTACGAGTGTACAGGGTGCGGCCATAAATGTTGACGTGATTGAGGAGTCAGAACATCAGTACTTGACATTCTCTGGCGGATTCCATCTTTTTCGGTATCGTCTTTCAAATATGGTATAGTTTCAATATCTTCATTTGGTAGAGATCTGCGTACATTATCCGAAACGAGTAGGATTTCTAGTCTCACACGCCTGAGTTTCCCCTCCGAAGATCTGCTTGAGATACACGTAATGGTCCTCCTTATAGAGGTTGATCTCTTATGCAAGCCAAAGAGTAGCTGTGAATGTTGTCAAAGAAGCAAATGCAGAGCTCGATTCAACGACGACCGTGATAAAGCTGACTACAGATTAGACTCAGAATTGATTACTAGAACTTTGGAAGAAGCTAACAATGCTGGAACAACGTGAAAAGAATATGATTAGCCTAGCGATGAATTGAACCTGAGTAAACGCGTCTTCTTTCTCATTGTTGCTTTTTTGATTTGATATTAAAAAACGTGAACCAAATGCTATACAAAATAGATTTTTGAAGTCTGTTGTCATTCCCACTAATCAGAACACGTGGATTTCACTAGTAGGGGGATGTACTGGGTCATGGAATGATTTTGTGCATTGATGCAGAGTCGTTTCCTTGACTTTGGACTATACAAGGACTGGCCTCCCGAAACTCCGATTCTAGCGCAGTGAATTCATGTGGTCGAAGCTAAAGCTGAAGATATGCACGAAAAAATACAGTTTGAATGGGTTGCCAAAACCTCTTAAAAAACCAAACGATATTGAAATTGGCAGTTTGCATTCCCATGCGCGCAAATTGAGTATCGTTTCTGTAACTGGCCGTCGAGAAATTGCCAGATTCGTGGGCGACAGCATCGAAAGAAATGTCAATAGTAGTTTGAAAGGGTATGGTCACGTGTGTCGTGTCGCTGATATTCCGTTTCTACCTTGTGGGCTAAACGTATAGCATACCTTTTCACGAATTTATTCCCCTGGTCGACGGACTACTTGAACTCAGCCCTTTAAACCGCCTCTGCGCTCTCTCGCGGGTCCCTCTCCTCTCCAAGGCTTAGTCCTAGGGCATTCACCCGTTCTCTAATCGTCTGTGCTCTAGCCATCGCGGCAGGACCATAGAGGAAAAATCAAGTAGTTTGTAAACCTAGGCCTGTTCTGTGTGCTTTCCTGCTTTGGGGGTTAAAAGAACTGCTATTAAGTTAATTAAGAATTGCCTCAAGCAGCCGATGCTGTCTAATTTGTTATGAAGTTCTTGGTTTAGGTTCACCTGGGTCCACCACATGATTCTAACTTCGGTTACTCCTATGCTAAACGCATGATTGACGTCCTGAACCGTGGATATGCTCAGGACTACGGTAGAAAGTAAGTTTTTGGTCTTTTTCTTACGGGTTTCCATGAACACTGACTTGTAGATACACATCGGTCATTCCGTGCAATGTATTCGGGCCGCATGACAACTATAATCTCCAATCAGCTCACGTTCTCCCTGCTCTCATCCACAAGACTTATGTGGCGAAAAAAGAAGGGAAGCCTCTAGAAGTTGGTCTTTCTTTTCTTTTCCTTTTTTTCTTTTATTTTTTTTCTGATTGTCGTATTTATTTCATTTGCTGCCGGATGTTCAGGTCTTTGGGACGGGTAAACCCCTTCGTCAATTTATCTACTCGCTTGACCTCGCTCGACTATTTATTTGGGTTCTAAGGAGTTACGAGGTTTTTTTTTGTATTTGGTGCCCTGTAATATTATCAGGAACAAATGCGATCTTCAGGAAGTGGACCCCATTATTCTTTCTGTCTCCGAAGAAGAAGAGGTCTCAATTGCCGATGCGGTCAAGGCCATAGTAAAAGCATTTGATTTTAAGGTAATATTGTTCCATTTTCACTCGAACCTTCCAGTACATTCATCCAATAGTTTTGTAGGGTGAAGTGAGATTCGACACTACCAAAGCCGACGGTCAGTTGAAGAAGACAGCATCAAATGCGAAACTAAGAAAATATCTGCCTGATTTCCGCTTCACTCCATTTGACGAAGCTGTAAAAGCTTCTGTGGATTGGTTTGTTGAAAACCATGACTCAGCCAGACTCTGAGTCATCTGATATAGTTGAATCTTGTTACTGTTAGCGAAAGTATTATACAATTCTATTCGGAGCTTCTAATTATGGAATCATCTCTCTATCTGTGATATTTATAGCTTTCAATTGCTCTTTGGTTTTAAGTTATAGTTTGTTTAATATATGATCGCAAAGGTGCAACCGTTTCTATACAACGAAGAAAACTGTTGACGAACGAAGACGTATTACAGCAGACGTGTGAAGGAATCGTCCCAGAACGATCATCTTACGATTAGTCGGAACAAAAACTGTTAATATCTGGCTTTCGTTTCATGATAGTAACCATGAGGAGAAACTACTGCAGACACTACCAATACGCGGCTTTAAGTCTATTAGTTTGTCCAAAGAGGTTTAATGATGAAGTAGGTGTTCCCTACGCAAGGGTGCCTGCCTACCTGTGAAGTAGCACTCCTTCCGTGATAGGACGTAAGCAAACCAGCCCTTTTGGCGCCATCGGCTGGGACCGTATGCTGAATGTTGGGGAGGGGATGGAGTCCCCGACGGTGGACGGACCACTTCAACTCGGTCCTTAGAACCGCCACAATTTGGTGCTTACCTCAGAACTAAGCCTTAAAGAGAGGACGGGTCCGTCCCCTCTCCAAGGCTTAGTCCTGGGGTGAGCAAACCAGCCCTTCTGGCGGAGCTGCTGGACCAGCTGCACCACTTGCGTCAGTACTCTCCTATCGTACCAACCGAGTTGAAGTAAACCGTCGACCGTTGGGGACCCCATCCCCTCCCCAACATTCAGCATACGGTCCCAGCCGAAACGCCAAAAGGGCTGGTTTGCTTACCTCCCGTGATAGTGGGAGGGTTTGATTGATACTGCGGGTAATGCTAACAAGAAAAACTGATCATGGAAAAAGAATACGGATGACGGGAGACGCCTAGACACGATGCATTGATTCGTGACGAATTTTTCTGGGAGGTCGTAATCCGTAAATGTACAGGGGGGTGGGGCTGTCAAAAATGATCATCAGCCTTCCCTATTCAAACGGTAACTGATTGATACTGGCAATCCAACCCGAAGAGGCAAGTGATAATTGTAGGGCCTATTCTTCAAAAATTACAAACATTTTTCCACACCGACGACATCAGAAGATTTTCCCACGGAAACATGGTTCACGGTACGAGCTCAACGAGGTCGTCGAGGTACCATAGACCATTACGACGTCTCTGAAACGCTGGTCAAAAGCGGTCTTGCATAGTCACAGCTAGTGTCTCTAAGAAGCTATTCACCAGTTAACCGATTGAAGAAATTAGCAGCTTCAGGTTGGAGCGATTAGCTGTAGGCCTCCTTCAGTTCGACAGAGATGGTAGGTGACATCTAAGGAATATTCTACCGTAAAACTCTCATCAACAACGGACACCCTGTGCGACGAAAAATTTGATGATGTGCGTCATGGGCAAAGTGACTTTTTTGCCCCCTTCCCCCGTATACCGTCTAGATCAGTGACATGGAGCAAGTCCTAAGCTTTTCGAGGTGACCCTCTTCAGCACATCGATGTGTCGATTATGCTCAGAGTGGAGGGTTCTCTTTAGCATACTCAATATGGAGTATTCCATAGATTTCGAGTGGGAAGCACCATGCTGCTTATTCTCAAATATGATGAGTCCCGGGAAGCTCTGTCGGTGCCATTTTTGTACAATTAAGATTTTTTCCTGCATTGTGCTTGGTTCAGTGCTGCTAAAATGCCCAATGTTTCGCTTTGAAGATTTGAGGAATCAGTAGAATTCGACAGAGTTCAATAAAAATCAATTTTAAGTTGATCAGCAAAGGCCAGAAGTATTAGGTTGAGTCAAAAGTAAGCGCTGATCTTCCCATACACGCGAAATCTTTCTCACAAAATCCGGGTTTTTTCAGCAGAGCTAAAAGAGACCCTAATATGCTTTCATAATACGAAAATCGAATGTCCCTGTGCGTTTAGTGGCAAAATAATGTCGTCTATTTCAACTCATGTTATTTACTGTGTTCTTCACGAAGTTCTGTTTGGGGCACTCAGCAAGAGAAGTTGATCGGAATGTTTGTGAAGCTGAAGGACCAGACACGCTAACAGAGAAGATCGCTCTGAAATGCTTCGATAAGTTTTGGGGGTGGTTAAGCCTCGAAGGCAAATAACATTCTGGACACTCATGGCTGTGGTAATTGAAAGCACTCAAAAGCGTTCTGAAGATATTCCTGCGCTAGTACCTGTCAAATGAAATAGACCTTCAGTCCTCCCGAACACCGTGAGTTGTGCCCTCTAAGCCATGGGGAAATTGGAGACTGGGACAACGGAAACCCACAGTGGCGATATCAGTACGAGCTGAACGACGGGGACTGGAATATATAATGCAAGGTACAAGAAATGGGAATCAAATATGGATGCTCTTTCAACCATTATGTACAGCCCTTAGTACGCTTCTAACTTTTCTAAGATGCGCATTGACTTTGATTCACTTTTTTTTTCTTCACACCTGACTGGAGATCTTCCTACCTTTTGTTTTAGACCATAATTTACCCACATTTGACTGCAGTTTGTTTGATTAATGTGATCAAGGAATTGTTGTAGCGCACCTAAGCGTGCACCAAATAAAATAATAAATAAATAAATCTATATATGGTAACAAAAATACATGCACGTCGTTTATGAAGGTGCCTTCCGCACTAGGCTTCTTCACTGAGCGCTTCTCCCGCTTTTTGCTCATTTCCGCCTTTCTTACTACCGGCGGAGCTTATACCTTATTACTGGATGATCCGAAGGAAGCGGTAGCCATTCCTTATCGCTCATTTTTTCCGGTCACAGTGGGCCAGTTTTATGAACATCGAGTCCCTATGTTAAGCAGTCCACGACACGGCCAACTTGGGATGCCTCGATGCTCCTTTCTCTGCGGGTAGGTGAACGTATCCACGCTCCCCTACTCTCGGTTGTCCAATGACATTCGTACCAGTCCTTGTCTCTGTTTTTCCACCTTATTCGAATATACCCTCCCGTACAAGCTTCAATCTACTCAAGAAAGATTCCGTCTGTCATAATCAATCATACCGTCTGTTTCAAAAGTGCAAAGATTCCATGGCTTGCAACCTACTCATTCAAATTCAGCATGTTCTGAAACTATAGAACACCAGAACACTTTAGGGAGCAATGTGAGCTACAAAACAATTTCACAATTGTTAGGTATCTACAAATTATTGAGATCATTGGGCGCTGATCTGATTTTCGCGCCCAAACTACGGTATATAAACCCAATAGTTTATCAGTTATCAGTTCTACCATCAGTTCTCCTGTTATTCGATTCGACTAATAAATCTGCTAAATATTCTCTGAGTATCGACCGACCAGCAGCGGCCCACAAACGTAACAACAATAAAGCTCAGAATACCTTTAAAAGTATAGGGGCACTCTGAGCAACGAGATTCAAAAGTGTAGTTTTTACTTTTTGCCAACTCGTTTGCTAGTCTATGGGCATGCTTCGTGAAAGCACACTACTTCTTCAATAAGCTCGAGCGATTTGAGCTTTCTGCCTGAACAACTTCGTGCGAAAGTCAAATACTCTCAACTGCGCCAACTTCTTGGCTTCCTTCCTGGCAACATTTTGAAGAGAAGACCAGCTTTTGACTAACGGCAAAATCTCTGGAAGACCACAAGTATTATTTGAATACGCAGTACGTCCTACCCTGCAATTGTTTACAGTTCTACCACCCTAGTGAACCAGATTTCGTTAACTTTCGCCTCCTGCTTAACGAATTTCATCTGGAGAACTGCCAACATAACTCCAAGTATTGTGCGAGAGTCTATGACGAAGGCACCTTGACTAGGTGAGCTCGCAAAACAAGTCGTCTTGAATTACCTCGGAGGAAGATGAAAGCAGAGCGTGATCCAACATGTGATGCTACACTAGGGAGGTACCTTCATTAGGGTAACTAGTCAAGGCTGTTTTGAATTTAGGTCAACTTTTCCGATGAGAATGGGATGGGCTGGATAGAGATCACAGTTGCTGGAGATTTCCTAGAGAAGACTCACTGGTCTTTAGTAGGAAGAACTGCGGTGTTTCTCAGATGGTGTGGGCTGAATTGTGTAACAGTGCTGTGACGCTCTGGCTTCTATATCGAGTAGAACGGTGATCAGCGACTATGAAGATGTTTTTGAGATTATTTGCATCATTTACTGTCGTTCCTAAGTGAAGATTGCCGATGGAGTTTCATCTTCGTTCACGGATGCTTCCATCCACTGCAACCGATCCGCCAAATAGTTGCCAGCGTCACCGAAGACCATGTTTTGGATTGGCCCCCATGCAGTTCGGATCCAAATTCTGTAGAAGACATCTGAGGAATCACTGTGAGGAGCTTCGCTGGTGGCAAAAAATAAAATGTAATGGAATGTCTTAGGTGCGCCACTAAGACGTCGCGGTACCATCTGGATGGTGTCAATTTGCAGAAGGCTAAAATCGTCCAGGCACATTGAAGAGGTAAGCATACCTATACAATCACAAACAACTTGATAGGAGTGTGACGACGAACGTCGTCCCTGAATATTCCGGTAAGCTACGCAAGGTGAACCCTTTTGTTATGACGTCATTAGTAGATAGAGAATCTCTTCAGGATGTTTACTTAGATACATTCTCAGGGATTACTGTAATAATGTTTGCTGCAGGACATTGGAATGCTCTCAAGCTGTCGCGGAGGAGGAGATGGCGCGATAAGACGTCGAGCCTGTAAGCAGTACTTAAGCAGGAGCTCGAAACGGTAGGGTCCGGGAGTTGGCAACGGGTCGTCAGTGAAGCCGTCTCATTCTCGTCTCGTCAGATCATGACTTCGAGTTATTCTTCCTTCCGGCAGCATCGCGTATTCATTAGCGATTCGTACGAAAGTTATTCTGAATTCGATTTATTCCGTTGCATCGGTATTCGGCAGAATGGTTAGTGCTTAGTTCAATAAATATTGGGTGGGTACAAGTTGGAGGCGGCTTTCGAGTGGTTGCAAAATCCGCGTGGCACCT